AGTTTTATTCCAGTGAAAAACACATTATACCACCTACTGGCATCTTCCTTAGGCTGACAAAAACTCATTAACAAATGGAATTAGTTGAGGGAACTCGATATTACTAAACAGAAGCCATGATGTCTATTTGACATCATGTATCTCACATGCAAATAAAAAGTGGTAACAGTTCTTGTGAAGCATTCCAGAGTGTTGTGATTGGCATGTGTCTAGACAAGAATGGACTTTTTAGTACTTTTTAAAATATCAGGACATATTAGCAACTTAAAAAAAATACCATAGCCTGATTAAAGTCGTTTTGCCATCTGATTGACTAATTTTGCAAGACTTGGTTTTCAGAGAAATTCAGAGAGACAAAGAAAAGCAAAACAATGGTTGCAGATGTTCAAAACTGCTTAAGCTAATTAAAGAGATTAAATATAAACATCTGTGTGCATGCATCATGGAAAGACATTTCAACTGAAGTATTTTTTTATAAACTGAAACATGAAGATTATAGTGCAGAGGCTGAGGATGGAGCCCAGTTGGCAGAGTGCCCTCACCTAGCATAGAGGAGGGCCTGGCTTCCAACTGCAGCACTTCATAAATGGCATGGGGGTACAAGCCCTCTGGAAGGAGAGGCAAGGGTTCAGATCACATAGGGAGTTCAAGGCCCACCTGGGCTACTTGCGACCCTACTAAAAAGCTTACCCAAATTGCAATTTCAACTCAGGATGCCACAATTACTTATTTGTTTATCAGTGAATTTTTCAATACGAAAGATCTGATAAGTAAACACAAAGGCAGGATATTGGGAGAGGGAAAGATTTTACTTATTATACAGTGGATTACAAAATCTAGTAGTCAAAACCTTTCTATACTGCATTAAGAAAATTGCAGAATACAAAATGGCATGGGCTACACTGTATCGACTGCTTCAGGAGTTATTGTTATCCAGATTCCCTGGGTTTATTGTTAGACTCTTAACCAAAGCCCAGAGTGTTTGGCTCATCTGCCACTTTGTCACTTCTAGAAGCACTTCTCGGCTAGTCCCAAGATCTAATTTCACCAGGCTCCCGATGGGGCTAGCTTAAAGGAGGAGTTCAAGCTCTGTGGAGTTAGTGTCACAGTCCAAAGGGAGCTGGGAAAGCTGCAGGGAAATCCCCTCCCTTCCCTCCTGTGTCCTTGTGTCTGTCCAGCCAACAACTTCCTATGTGCTAGAGAACCAGCTGGACTTCTCTGAAACTCAGACCGGCTTGGGGGTGATGTGACAACATCTGTCTTGGTTTCACTTTGTTGGTATTGCTGAAACTTCACTCTCGGATCTAGCATTCAATTGAAGACTTTACCTCAGAGTCAGTTGTTGTATTTTGGACTTAGGTTGTTTTTTTGTTTTTTGTTTTTTGTTTTTTGTTTTTTGTTTTTGCCTGGGGCAAAATCTAAACAGAAGTTTATACAAAAAAAGAAAGTGCCAGGAAAAAAGAAAGAAGGGAGACAGGGAGGGAGGAGAGAAAAAGGAAAGAAAAGACAATACTCTGGTATAAGTAAACATTAGTGCACATTAAACCACAGTGAGATGCCATTTTCTTGCACATTAGTTTGGGGAAAGATGAACACGTCTGTTGATAGAATTGAGTGAATCACTGTCATGTGAAGGTGGAGACTGAGTGCCTTCATGCTTCATGGAGTGTAATGTGGCAGTGTTCGGTTTTTAATCAGCAATCTCCTATGTGCATCAGTTCATATGGGTATACATGCTATTTTATAATAGTAAAAATCAGCAGACAAGCAAAATAATCATTTAAAAAGGGCAGGACTTGAAAGATGGATGGTACACCCATTTTATAGAGTATCTCAGGGTCATCAGAAAGAGTATGTTAAACTAAGAGAATCCTGGAAAGATAGCTCTGATATATTTTAAGGGAAGATAGTCCTTATTTTATTTTATGTTTTTTTAAATTTTTTTGGTTTTACGAGACAGGGTTTCTCTGTATTGTTTTGGAGGCTGTCGGTCCAGCCCAGCCTCGAACTCACAGAGATCTGCCTGCCTCTGCCTCCCGAGTGCTTGGATTAAAGGCGTGCGCCACCACCGCCCGGCCTTATTCTATTTTTATACAACCTAACTAAACAAAACCCCTAAATGTATATTTCCCACATTGCACACACTACATGAAGTGAAAATTTAACTATTATGTTGATATTGCACCTATCAATAGGTGCAACTTATCAGTAAATACAACTGTATATTACACGTGTTGCATAGAGAGAAGTGCTTAGAAATTTCTTCTTATTAAAAAGAGATTTTTTTCGTACATTATGTTTTGCTTATGGCCTCCCCTTCCTTAATCTTCCATCTTCCCTACTTCACCTCCCATCTGTACCTGCACACTGTCTCTCAATAGAAAACAAGTAGCTATCTAAGAAATAATGTAAAAATAAATAAAAAAGCAATCAGAATAAGACAAAACAACCACACAAGATAAAGATCCAAAGAAAAAGCACAAGAAAGAGGTATAGACACAGAGATACGCATACTTGGAAATCTTATAAAAATCAATATTGGAAGCTATAATATAGATGCAAAGTTAAAACAAACAAGCAAATAAAGTGTTTACACTTTTAAACAAAGTGTATGAGGATACACCAAATTGTCTGTTTGCTTAAAAAGTAAGGTTGAATGTGCAGACAGTTACTGACTTTTCCCTTCTGTGCCTCTTGCATGCTTGATGTACTATAACATGTATTAAAAATAATTAGGTAGTAGGTAGACAATAGAATGGAAAAAATAAGAGGATAGTAATTTAAAATGTATGTAATCTAATTTTGATTGATCAGTCCTAAGGTAATAAATTTAAACTTTATCCATAATTTCACATTAGATTTTTTTGTGAGTAAACACACACACACACACAATTCTGCTGGTCAATATCTATCATTTCGTCATTAGACAAACCCTGTCATATAACATACCTTCCGAACATTATAGCATCCTGTGAACTCATTAAAAAAGAATGAAATTTGTGAGTAAAGGATGACTATCAATTTGTTAATAATAAAAAAGCATCAACAATTAGTTTTCACATTCTGTTTTATTATACATTTTATTAATAAATATATGATAGATATACTTTCAATAATACTTATTTTAAAAAAGTGATATCACAAAAGGACCTTTAAATATTTAGCTTTTGTATACTTAGATTAGTATGTGGTTTCCATCAATAAAAAGTGAGAAAATCTCTCTCAAATTACCTTGACTGTATGTTTTTATTACCAATGGAAGAAAATATTTTAAAAAATTAGTTTACTAGTACAAAGTGAACTGGTAGTTGCCTACTTTGTATGTATGTCATAAATCCTGAGTGAAAACCTGCATCAAATTGTTTTATTATATGCCTTGCCTTTTTCCAAGAGGAATTAAGTTCTTTTTGCCTAAGCCCATGAACCATGTCAGCATATTACATGAACTAAACAAATTTGCCCAGTTATTGTGTTTACAGCAGACATGTTTTCTCTGTCTGTGTTGGAAGCTCTGGAGAGAGAGTCTTGTGTGAGGCTTCCCACAGTCAGCCAGACGTGTCTGTCAGTTGCTCAGTGGGGAGCTGTATATGTCTTTTCAAGTTTATCTGTCACGTTTTGATTTGAGCTCTTTAGAAATGAATAGATAGGTTGCCATTCCTTGAAGGATTCATGATATGAGTTTGAACTAGCAACTTTAAGTAATGTTTTTCCCAAGAAAAATATGGTAAAGAAAATCCCTTTTTAGGGAAGCTTCTTATTGAGCCTGTGAGAGAAAAACGGAACCAAAGAAAGTAGTATAGTCTGTCATGCTAACCTATTTTACCTTTGTGGCACCTGTCACAAAAATAACACAGTATTTTCACCTAAAAGAAAGTTAGATAATCTATGTGAACTCAGTAAGCACCTAATAGCAGGGAAAGAATGCCCTCCCACCCGCTGTGTAAGTCATTAGAGAAAAATTACAGATGCTTCCAACTGTTGTGAACAGCTTTATTGTTCTGTGGTAAGCCCAGATGAAAGCACTGCTTTCTGCCATGTTGCTCCTTCACCCCTGCTCCACCATTCACCTTCAAAGATATGTGGGTGTTTGCATTAGAGAAAGCTAAAGAGCTCAACCCTTGGCCAGGCCTTGTAAATACCTGGTTGGAATCTACGGGCATCACCAACTGCGTGGGTGCTTAGGTGAGACCCTTGTGCGTGTCCCCACAAGGTGTGCTGTGTAGAAACTAATGTCTTCAGTGCTTTTGTTGTCCAGACTCATCTCATCAACGTAGAAGGTGCCTTCCACACAACTGACAGACAATGTTGACTACTCACTGTGCCAGGGAACTGGGCAGTGGTCCCAGAGATACAGGGGCTGAGCAAGAGCAGCCCCAGAGAGCTTGTTGTAAGGGAAAGTAAATACTAATGTGAACAGCAGATTCCAAATACCTAACAGTATTTCTCAGTAGAAAATTGCCACCTGTTTGCTCACTGCTAAAGTTCTTCAATGTTTGCTGTGGTGCCAGTGAGATTTTGAATCCAGTTAGGATTGGCATTGATTAGAACCCTGACTTGGAACGTGATCTCATATGATTCTCTTCTTATAAGAAAGCCAGCTTGAGAGTTGTGAGGTAAAATTTCTACTCTCACATCGGATCAGAGTTTGGGTTACTGTTGGAGAGGGTCATACATGCCCAGTTGATTGTAATTCGAGTATGCAGTCTGTTTACCAAAGCATAATTGTTCATTAAAAACTTTACTTTTGCTTGGGGCCTGGAGGATGACCCCACTATTAGGAACACTGGTCCTTCCAGAGGATCCAGGTTCAATTCCCAGGACCCACATGACAGCAACCATCTGTAACTCTAGTTCCAGAGGATCTGACTCCCTCATCTGACCTCCATGGGTACTCCATGCACTTGGTGCATAGACATACATGCAGGCCAAACACCCATACACATAAAGTACAAATAAAATCTCAAGAAAAAAATGCTTAATGCTTTTCTTTTGTCTTGTAGGAATTTATTTTGTCTGAAGATTATAACAAGATGACACCTGTGAAAAACTATCAAGGTAGGAGTCATAGGACTGTTGTTAGCTGGCTCTAAAACTTTTTCTTGGTAGTTTTCACTTTCACTAAGACCACTTAAATTACCTGCGGAACAAAAAGAGAAATCCTGAGAGGTCAGTATTATCGCAGTTGTGAACTAAGTTGCTGAGGTGAGAAGAACCTGAATTACTTGTAAGCCTGGTTCTACAGAGGTTAAGTGCAACCCAAACTAGATCACAGTGACTGCCAAGCCTACATCTTTATCATCCTACACCATGCTTCCTGGTGGTACAGCAGGCTCAGGAAAAGTGGAATCAGTCTCAGATAAGCTTCATTTCATGTTTGGTGAAATGCTTTGCCATGTGTGCAGGGGTGGGGTGGGGAGTGGGTTACAGTTTCTATTGTATCTTCAACATTGACTTATTGGCCAAATTCATTTTGTCAATCAGGAGTCATGTCTGGAAGGGACCTGTATCCAGACCATCAGTATCATGTAATCTCTAAGACCCAGATGTCATTTTATCCAGATATCTTCATCTCATTCATTCTTTGTGGTCACCCAGCATCCCATACATGACGTCTACAGATATTATATTATCAAGAGTTTGGAAGTTTCTAAGCATTGCTTTCATTAAGATACCTTCACAGAGCATAGAATTATATTTTTAAAACTTCCTTCAGCACTTTAAACATAATGTTCCATTGATATCAAATCTGTCACTAGTTTTATAATTTATGGTCTAATCTACTACCCACTGGGTTTTAGAATTTTAGTGATTTTTTTATGGTTTTAAAAGTTCGACTTTTTAAAATATGACTTTTATTTATAGTATTTTTGTTTTATTAGCTCCTAGTTTCTATACCTTTAAAAATATTTATTTTTATTTCATGTTTTGTCTGCACATAAGAGCACCATGTGGGTCGGGCCTATGGAGGCCAGAAATGGCATTGAATTCCCAGGAACTGGAGTTACAGATAGCTGTGAGTCATCACATAGGTGCTGGGAACCACACCTAGGTCTTTTCCAAGTATGCCAGGTGCTCCTAACCACTTAGTCATCCCCTAGCTCCTACCTTGATGTTTTGTTTGTCTGTTCTGTTTTGGTTTTGAGGCAGGCTTTCACTATGTAGCCCAGGTTGGTCTCAGACCCTAGACTGAGGGAGTAAGTATATGCCACCCTACTTAGCTTTAGTTTTCTTTAAAAAATTTAAAAAGTGATGTTATTATCTCTTCCAGAATGCTAGTCATGTTCTAAAGTTGTTGGCATTCTAACTTCTCAAAATTAAAATAAAATTAAAATTTCTTCAGTCATAAAGAACTCAAAGAATTTGTTTCTTATAGACCCCCACTAGAGGAAACATTGAAGACAAATCTTCAGGAAGAAAGTAATGCCAATGGAAAAACATGCATCTATTCAAAGAGTGAAGAACAGCAAAATAGTAACTGCAATACAGCCTCTTAAAAGGATATTTGTATATTTAAAAATAGCAACAACAGGGGCTGGAGAGATGGCTCAGAGGTTAAGAGCACTGGCTGCTCTTCCAAAGGTCCTGAGTTCAATTCCCAGCAACCACATAGTGGCTCACAACCATCTGCAATTCAATCTGGTGCTCTTTTCTGGCTTGTAGACAAAACACTGTATATGTAATAAATAAATCTTTAAAAAAATAGCAACAACATAAATTGGTATCAAATATAAAATAAAATGTGTAATGATATTTATAAAAGTAGGATATCTGGAAAAATAGAAATATGCTGTTGTGAAGTTTGTTAGAGATGTTTACCATAAACAACTGCTCTATGACAAACATAACTATTAACCAATGAAATAAAATGGAATTGTAAGATTATTTTCAGTGAATAAGAACAAAGGCCAAAGTAAGAGAAATGGAGAAAGAAAATGGAAAAAGAGAACAAATAGGGATAGGTTTAAACCTAAAATATCAATAACACATTAAATATGAGTAAGGTAAAACTAGTAATTAGAAATCAGCAACTTTTAATTAAGTCCACTGAGTGAGGATTTGAAATTCAAATACAACCTGATGGGGGAAGTCCTGTGTATATGTCAATAAAGCACTGTTGGCCAATAGGATAGCAAGATAGGTGGGACTAGGAGTCCAGGAGGACTCTGGGTAGGAGAAACACAGAAAGTCAAGATGTAACTGCCATAGGGATAAGAAGCCCGGAAAGTTCTCCGGTCAGAGAAATACTTAGATTAACAATTATGGGGTAAATACTTAAGTCAGATCTAGCCAGTAAGAAACAGGCAAGGCCAACAGCTTCATAATTAATATGGCCTCCTGTATGTTTATTTGGGACTGATGCGGCTCTGGAACCAGGCTGGCGGGAAGGCTTCTCTTTACAACAACCTGTACACAAGATGCTGTCAATCATTTGGAAAGCAAGTTGGTGGTAGAATGGTAGAAGTCATATCATGAGAACACTAAAGTGGAGCTTAGGTAACTTTATTAACTTTATTAATATCAAAACAGATCAGCCCAGCAGAAGGCCATAATGAGCCTAAACGTTTCCGACATAACTTTGAAATAAGGTTAACAATGAAGCTTTAGGGACAAGTGGCTACATACACAGTTGTAGTCAGAAATTAAACTGATAGAACAGGCATGCAGAAGATTGTCAAGGACAATTCAGTGCCTTTCCCAATGGTCACCTGTAGAAATTCCACACAACTGAAACAAAATATGCTTGATTTTCAAGTGCTTTGAGAACTTCTACTATGATTGAAACCATAAAGCAAGTCTTGATAAGTTTTGAAGGATTTAGGCATATATTCTAAAAATGGGATTAAAGTTTGATGATGAGTAGACCCATAGGAAATCCTAAACTATTTGAAAGGTAAATAATATACTTCTGAGTAATTCATGGGTTAAAGAAGAAATAATCAAGCATTCTGAACCAAATAAAAATGAAAAGAAGGATACTGGTGTTTATAGGACACAACTGCTGCAGCTTCTAAGGGAGGATTGACAGCTCAAACACTGGCATCGTAGAAGAAGAAAGGTCTCAAATCAGTGGCCTTGGTTTCCGTTCCGTCATTTGGGGGAGAAAAAAAGGAAAGGAAGGGAATAAAAAAGCCTAAGCTACCCAGGGGAAAGGAAGACATTATTACAGCAGTTCATGAGGTATAAAACAGATAGTACAGGTGTAAGTCAGGGACATCAAAGGATGCTTTTCTGAGTGACAAACTTGTAGCTAGAGTAGCAAGGGGGAAGACAATGGAAATTATCAGTATCTGAAAAGAGTGACCTGACCCTCTTTCAGAAGCTCTATGTGTGCACTGGGTGATAATGAAAACTTATATTAGTCAGGGTTCCCTACAGCAGTGGTTTTGAACCTTTCTAATGTTGCGGCCCTTTAATACAGTTGCTCATGTGGTGACACCAATCATAAAATTATTTTTGTTGGTACTTCATAACTGTAATTGTGCTATTGTTATGAATTGTAATGTAAATATCTGTGTTTTCTGATGATCTTAGGTGACCCTTATGAAGGGTCATTTGTCCTCCAAAGGGGTCATGACCCACAGGTTGAAAACAACTGCTCTAGAGAAACAGCACTGAGAGAATGATAGATGATAGATAGATAGATAGATAGATAGATAGATAGATAGGTAGATAGATAGGTAGATAGATAGGTAGATAGATAGATAGATAGATAGATAGATAGATAGATAGATAGGTAGATAGGTAGATAGATAGGTAGATAGATAGATAGATAGATAGATAGATAGATAGATAGATAGATAGATAGATAGATATTGGTGGGTGGGAGAGCGGGAGGATTTATTAGAATGACTAACAGCTGTGGTCCAGCTTGTCTGACAATGCTGTCTACCGACAGGAAGTCCAGGAATCCAATAGTTGTTCAGTCCAAGATGCTGGATGTCTCAACTGGTCTTCAGTGTAATGGCAGAAAGGAATGAACTTGCTAATGAAAGCAAGCAGGCAAAGTACAAAAGCTTCCTTCTTCCATTCCCTTTATTCTCCTAGACCAAATATTTTTCTGGTTATATTTTTTGAACATTAAGGAAGAAAATATGTGAAACTACAGGAACTCTTTTGGAAAACGGAATGGTATTTACTTTGAACTGGGGAAAAGGGAAGTTGTAAGTTAGTGTTTAATAGGCTCGGGATTTGTATTTGAAAAGATGTACAAGTTCTAGAGAGGTGATGACTATCATATGTTAATATGAATACAGAATGTATATTTAAGAGTGGCTAAATTTAGGGATTTTACGTATAAATTGCTTGATGAAATGCCTGAAGCATAGTTGACTATGTCAATAATTATTAATTCCTTTGGAAAAAATTACTCCAAGCTTGACGACACATACCTAAGGCAGGAGAATTGTGCATTCAAGGCCAGTCTGGGCTATATCAGGAAAACCTATCTCAAAAAATAAAATAAAACTCAAACAATCCAATGTTAAAAGTAATGCAGATAAACTAGAGTTGCTGATGGAGTGTGACATGACATAGCCTCTTTCAAAACTGCTTCAAAGAGTTAAGATAGTTACATTTTGGTGCAGCATTTTTACTCATTCTGTGTAAGTAGAATTGAAAAAAATATTCACACAGAATGTGTGATGAGGCACTGTCTGAGGTTGAAGGCATGATGGCGAGAAAGATGTTCCCCTGCACAGACTCATAGCCTCTCTCCCCGGTTCCTACCCACCAAGCCAGACATCAAGCCTGTGTTTTCCTACAAGTTTCTGAAGTTCAGTGATAAGTATCTACCTTCCAAAAGCTTTCTTCTGAGTAAGAGTTCCTTCTCCTTAGACTGTGTTTTGAGTTTTTGAGATTTTGTTTTGTTTTTGTTTTCCCAGTGACAGCCAGTCACTAAGAGAACTGACTTTACCATAGAAACCAAGTTTGGATTGCTCTGTGTGTGTGTGTGTGTGTGTGTGTGTGTGTGTGTGTGTGTGTGTGTGTGTGTGTGTGTAGAGAGAGAGAGAGAGACAGAGACAAAGAGAGAGACAGAGAGAGATTGATTCTCTCCACAGTGACTAAGAGAATGTGTTAAACACCTGAAGTTGGCAGATGGTTTTACTGCAGTGGGGCTGCAGACAGTCACCCTCACTGTGTAACATGACTTGGTAATCAAGGTGGAAAATCTACACCTCACGGTACTTGAGTATACTCCTGCCCCACCAGACCACTAGCCAGACTGCAGAGCGTGTCTTTGTTCATTCCATTACCTGTGTTCATTGCCTGGCATCACATAGTAAGAAAATGAAACTCTTCCTGCCCGAGTTTATTGAGTAACTGAGAACCATGACAACTCAGACACACCATCCAGTGTCACTGCACCTCAGTGTACCCAGGTGAGCAACGGAGAGATGTCTAGAAGGGATGGGCAGTCTCTTCTCACTCTATAGTTGTGTGATGCCAAAATTCTAATAGGGTTGCTCTTGTATGAGTAACCATAGGAATTCTTTCCCTTTCTCTCACATGTAGCTACTTCTGCGTAACAGATATTTCATTCTTGTCATAATTACTTTTTTCCATTACTATGATAAAGCACTATGACCAAAGTCAACTTATAAAAGAAACAACTTATTTGGGCTTGTAGTTCCGGAGGGAAAGCCCCTGATGGCAAAGCAGAGGCATGGAAGCAAGAACAGCTTGAGAGAGCATGTCTTGATCCACAACAAGAAGCAGAAAAATTACACACTGGGAACAGCATAAGTCTTTGGAAACCTCAAAGCCCATCCCCAGGGACACACCTCCTCCAACAAGGCCACACCTCTGACTCCTACCCGAATAGTTCCACCAACTTAGGACCAAGCATTCAAATATATGAGATTATTGGGGACATTCTCCTTCAAATGTTCACCATTCTCTTTTTATAATCTCCAAGCATTTGGGGTTTGACAGGAAACTCTCAGAAATTTTGTTACGAATTTTAAAATCAGATTTCAACAATAGCAAAAAAAAAACAATATTCCTTTCCTTTGTGGGAAGTGCACATAAACTGACCACAGTGACTGTGTTTCAGATGTCATTCCTAATGTGTCTTGTGTGCTTGGCCAGGTTTTGGGGTGGGGAGCATCCAAGCCAGTAATTCTTGGATGGATACAAGCAAGGGTGTGAAGAGATCTTTAAAAAAAGTAAAACAACAAGTTGTCCAAAGAGAGCTGTTGTTTTGTCCTATTCCTGGTGGCTTTGTCCTTCAGCCTTTTCTGGGTTGGGGAGAAGGATGTAATGGTGGGCTGTGTTTTTTCCATTTTCTTTGTCAGTCATTTTCTCATCGCTTGATTTTTTTTTTTCCAGCACATCAGAGCAGAGTGACGATGGTCCTGTTTGTTCTGGAACTGGAATGGGTTCTGAGCACAGGGCAGGACAAGCAGTTCGCCTGGCACTGCTCTGAGAGTGGACAGCGCCTGGGATGTTACCGTACCAGTGCTGTGGCCTCGGGCCTGCAGTATCCTTTGCTGGACTAATCTCTTTCTCCTTGATGCATGGACATTTGGGACATGGGCATTGTTTCCTTTTTTATTTACTATTCTTCCCTGTGTGAAAAAGATAACTCAGAGACTCTTAGGGTACAAGGTATTGGGGGTTCCCATGTAAATGGAATGGAGTAAGGCAACATCATTAAAGTAACAGGCCTGCCTTCTGTGATGACATAGTTGTGACGCCTACACAGGAACAGTCCGACATGTGATCCTCAGCTGTCAGGACTGTGGTCCTTGGACATACCATCAGCAAAATACATTTGGTTTTAATAGACAAGTCATTTCTCTTAGAGGAAATCCCTCCTACCATCATGAACACCCTTGGTGCTTAGAGAGTGGGCCACAAGATTCGGGTTCACTTAGAAATAGTGGCAGGGGTGGCAGGGGCGGGGCAGTGGGATGGCTGAGCAGGTAGAAGTGCTTGCTGCACAAGTTTAGAATCTGAGCTCAGTCCCTAGGACTCATACTGAAAGAAACAAGTGGCTACTGGAAGTTGTCCTCTTAAGTCCACCAGCACACTGGGACACACCAAAAATAATTAAATTTTAAATTAAATTCCATTTTAATTATTTCTTGTCAGACTGTCATGCCAAGGACCAGTGAGCTAGCTGTCTCTGCATGGTACCCTGCAAACTTTGTTCTAGGTGTGAAACCTTCTCCAAATCCATAGTGTGATATTCTTGTCTCCCAAGTTGTCAGTCCATGTTCTCGGGGTGAGCACCTACTAATACCAGAGATGGCTCACTTCTTGCTGCCTGGGCTCTGACAAGCCTGGAATCAATTGGTGGGTGACATGTTTCTCCCACGGCAAAGAGGAAAGTTCTCTAGTATGAAAAAGTGGAATCTTCCAGTTTTGGACATGTGAGGCAGGACGTGGAAATCAACACCATCCATAGAACCAGGAGCAGTGGGGCATGCTTTTGGGTTTTATCTCTGAATTTACAAAGTGTCTAGTCAGTTGTCAATAGTATGACAGTAGGCCAAGAGCTATCTCCTTGTGGGTATGTTTATGAGTGCACAGAGGCTAATGATGGTGTTGTTTCTCACTGGAAGGGCAAGATGAAGGGATGAAAAAGACCATAGTGGATGATTGGAAAGGTGGAGAGTTTCCAAGACCAGAGACAAAGATAACAAGGAGAGGGAGCTTGTCCTTGACAGGGCAGCAGCTTCAGATGAGCCAGCTGAAGCCTAGAAGTTGTCACACTGCCAGTGAGTAAGAAGGGGACCACCATTCTTGAGGTTTTCTGCCATGGACTTCTGCTTTGTTCCCCCCTGCTCTTCGATACCAGTGCTAATAGCATCCTGTGACTTACACTGACGCTGGCATCAGTGTCACTGACCAGTATTATGGTGCATCTTCCATTTATCTTGTGTCTTGTTTAGCCAAACCAGGCAGCGTGCACAAAGATACACATATGTCCCCGAGAAGATAACTTTTCAAACTATCTGAAAATGAAAAACAAAAATTACAGTTAAACTTGCCTTAACCATATTACCTTCATTTTGTGACTGTTTTCCAAGCACAGAATCATGTTACTGGTTATTAGAAGCCCATGTGTGAATATGAGAGATTGTGTGTGTGTGTGTGTGTGTGTGTGTGTGTGTGTGTGTCCGTTCAGACAGCCCCTTCCAGAAGATGCATGCCCCACCAAATTCACCATTAACCGTTCCTCTTTTCAAGCTACAATGCCAATGCTTACCCTTGAGTATCTTGGTAGTAATGAACACTGATGACATGATAATCCTATCCTTTTACCAGAGGAGGTGATCTAAGCCAAGAACCATGTGGTGTTTTTTCCAAAGCCAGGGCCTCCACCCCTAGCCTCTTCCTGGAACTACCTGGTGAATAGGCAAATAGTTAGGCAAATTACTACACTGTTATGATCCCACATCCACCTGTTTCCTCCCCTTGCTCCTGCCACTGTCCACTCTTTGTTTTGTTTATTATTTTTTGTTTTTAGCAAACTGGAGGAAAGAAGATCTGAGGAAGCAACATTGTCATTACCTCCGCCTTTGCAGAGGACAGCTGCCATACAGGAGAGGCCTCCACAGATGAATGGCACAATACTGTCCTGTCTCCACCTGTCATTTTTCAAAGTTAGCAAGTGACAGACTCTATCAGACCACATTCACATGTCCTCTTATTCCAGGCCTCTCAGGAGAGAATAACAGTGACAATAACTGAAACTGAAGCCAAGAAACCAAGGAGACAAAGAGAGTGATCGGTTCACCTGTTAAGCTATCAGTTCCCAAGAAATATCAAAGTCTTTGATTATTTTGCTATATATATGGACCTTAGTTATTATTAGGTAATAGTAGTAATGAGGAAGGAGAGGAAAAGGAGGAAGACACAAGCTCAGCCGTCCCTCAGAACTCAGTGCTCCTCCACTCACTGTGTCATGCTATGTGTTTAGTTCATATGTAGGAACAAAGGCTTAGAAGCCCAGAAAGGCCAAGGGGTTTATTTGTCATTGTCCTGGCAGAGTAGGATACTAAGACTTGGGTACTAAGATTTTCTCTACACATCTGCCCAGTCCAGAGTGTGCTTTTTCCCGAAGGTCCCAAAGCTGGGCAGACAAAGTGGGGCTATTTCTCCTCATGTTGTACTTGCTAGTCGTTAGTTAAGGGGATTCTTACCCACCTTCCCCTATCAGTATCTTATTATTTGACCATGTTTTAACTATTTTTTAATGCTTCCACAAAATAATTCAATACACTTCATGTTTTAGTTTTTTCTTCAAGAATGTCGGAGGCATTTCTAAGATGTCACCGTGTGTAGAGTGAGATGTCTTCCTCCAAGTGTCATCTCTTAGGTGCATTCCCAGTCAGGTCGAGAGTTCTGAAAAGTTGTTAAGATTATCTTAATGGTGCACTTAATGTCAATGTTGAGCACTCCAGCATCTGAATGTACTCTGTCTTTTTATTTCAACTCTTTTCTAAGTCCCTGTTGAGACCATGGTTTGGTTTGGGCTTTTGTTTTTTATATTGTTTGTTTTTTGTTTTTTGAGACAGGATCTCTCTCTATAGCCCTGGCTGTCCTGGAGCTTGTTCTCTGGCTGTCCTCAAACTCAGATATCTGCCTGCCTTTGCCTGCCAAGTGCCACCACCCCTAGAAAAAATATTTTAGTGACACTTATCCTAACTCACATCCACTGTCGGTATGTCTGTCCCTTTTTGCCACAATGTTCCAAAGCAAATTCTAGATGCTAATGTCATTTTATCTAAACATGTTTTTGTTGTTGTTTTTTGAGACAGGGTTTCTCTGTGGCTTTGGAGCCTGTCTTAGAACTCACTCTGTAGACCAGGCTGGCCTCGAACTTACTGAGATCCACCTGCCTCTGCCTCCCATGTGCTGGGATTAAAGGCGTGTGCGACCACCACTCAGCTTAAACATTCTTCATTATGAACCTCTAAAACTAAATATATATCCATAATCACAAAAATATAGTTACCTCTAGAAATTAACAATGTTTCATAGTTCTAATCCTCTCTTCTCAGCTTATGATGCTTACTTTGCAAGTCACTTTTGTAATGGATTTGTGTGAAATTGGGTGTAGACACACTATGCCTCATCTAGATATTGTCCTGTAATCTGATTCCGCCTCTGGAACACTTGTCACCGTCTCTGGAAGCTTCTGACTTGCCCTCGTTCTAAACTGACCCCTCCACTTCCACTGACATCACTTGTACATGTTCAGTTTCCTGTGCCCTTGAGTCTGTGAATGTTCAGCCTTTTGTACTTCCTCATGGTAATGGTTCTGTGTACTTCACCCTGCTACCCATCTGGAGCCCTGAGAACTGGGTCGTCATCTTCCCTCAATCAGAGCACAATTCATGACTCTGGGGACTGTGCAGTGTCTTTAGTGAGTGGGATCATTGCTCCTTTTGTCTCAAGAACAGTCAGTGACTCTGCCAGCGTTTCTGTTACCGGTTCTGTCCAGTGCCAAGCTTTAGCTGAGTCATTTCCTTCATGGAGGAGCAAAGTGGCCATTTTCTAGTCTCATCATTTCTTCCTCACAAGTGCTGGTTGGGAGTATTTGAGAGCTGAATTTTCCTTACCAGCTAGTGCTACTTATCTACCCTTATATGACATTTTTTTTGTAGAAAAAAGGTACTCTTCATTCTTGTCATTTTAATTTTCATTTGTGCTTTGATGTTTGGTTGAAAACAAGCCTTGATACACAGCTCAGGCTATTTTGGAACTCACCATATAGTTTGGTGTGGTCCAAAACTCAATCCTCCTGCCTCAGCCTCCTGAGTATTTGGGTGTATAGGCCTATACTACCACACCTGACTAACTCCTTCTCCTTAACTGGTAATTTAGGTAGAGAGTTAGTGTCCTACAGAATAGAGTTTTCCTTTTTTTTTTTTTTTTTGGTACTGTTAGGAACTCTTAGCATTTTTTGTTTGTTTTTGTTGTTGTTTAGGTTTTTAAAAGAATATATTTAACATTTTAATAAATTACATTTTTAAATATTAAAACTCTCATCTTCGGCTAGTAAGAGTCATATACTGGATTGTATGTGTGTGTGTGTGTGTCTATCTGTCTGCCTGTCTGTATGTATGTATGTATGTATGTATGTATGTATGTATTGCTGGTGACCAAACACAGGGTTTCACAAATGATAGACAAGCACTACCACTGAGCTACATTCCATACTCTCCTCCATATCATTTCAGAGTTTCTATTTTTCTTGGATATTTTATCGCAGTTTTAGATTCACGGGAAAAAATTAAATATTGAGATTTCCATTTGTTAAAATTAATAAGCCTATTATTTGTTAGCATGTGCAGTTTGTGTCACCATGGAAACAAATCTGTAGTCATGTGTTGTGTGACACTGTTCCTGGGGAGATATGAACAGTTGTCTCCTCACCCCAGGTAGGGAGCGAAAGACAGACGAAAGTACGGATACCACCAGAGTTCAACTTGGTGAACCAGTGAGTTTTATTGTGCTAGGGATTATTTACAGCAGCAGAAATCACTCAATGGCAGCTGCATGCTAAAAATCCATTCCAGCCAGGTGACACCTCATGAAAGTTGGAAGCCTGCACACTACACAACCTGCAGGCAGCTCACCAGGTTGGAGTCTGTCTCAGGCAGCTCAGAATGAGCCTCATCCAGGTGGCTCACTGCTCGCAGCTTCTCTTAGATGGCTTTCTTCTTCCAGATGGTCTGGACATCTTTTACTACTCAATTGTGTCCTTTGTTGTGTTGCCATACAGTTGGTCTGGAAATGTCTCTCAGCAGTCTTTACAGCTTCTGCATGCTTGGGGAGGGAGGGACTGAGTGAATCTGGTCTTCCAGATTCTTCCAGAACCTTCACTTCCTAAGGCTTTAAACATCCCTGAGGGATGGAATATTTCATCTTCTTTACAGCATCTCTGCCGGAAGGAATTTCCCTCACTGTGAAAGGTTTCCTCAGAGATTTCAGAATAGTTACACAACAACATACCTGTGAAGGATTCTGGAGTAAGTTAATTACCGTGAAAAGACACACCCTAAATGCAAGTGGTTCCATTTCACACACACAGACACATGCACTGATTGAAAAGGAGAAAGTTAACTGTGCTCGTCATTGCTGGCTGCTTACTAACGGCATGCAGTGTGATCAGCTACCTCATGCTCCTGTCACTGTCCTTTTCCTGTCCTGGTGGACTATGTCCTCTGGAACTGCGCGTCACACTTGACCCTTCCTAAATTGCTTTTGTCAGATATTGTGTTACAAATGAGATGAGACAAATAACTAATGTATGTAGTATGTCACTATCTCCCAGAATCCCTAACTTTCCTCAGGGCTCACTTTCACTGTTGCACATTGTGTGGTGCGTGGATCTGAACGAATGTGTCCACCATTGTGTTGTCTTACAGAGCAGGTTCACTGCCCTAAAACACCTTTAATATTCTGCATCACCAAAGGCACTGTGTTCTTGTGTTGGAGCTCCCTTGCCGTATTAGTTTCCTTTTTTGTTGCTGTGATAAAAGGCGACAGAAGCAACTCAGGGCAGAAAGGCTTTGTCCTAGCTCGTCATTTCAGTTTACTATGCTGTCCAGGCCAGACTGTGTATCTCTGCAAGTCTACCGTGCTAGATAAGTGTCTCAGGGACTTGGGCTGGGAAGAACGCCCATCATTAACCAGTAAGAGTGGCCTACTGTGCTGGAACCAGGCAAATGGCATCACGTATGCCAATGGCTGCTTTCTTTCTGAAGTCTGCAATTCTGGAGCAATGGTTCATTGCTTAAGAGTGCTTGTCGTTCATCCATGTGAATTGAGTTCAGATCTCAACAGCAGCTGTTGAGGAGAGGGCTCACAGATGCTAGTAACCGCAGCTCCAAGTAATGTGATGACTTCTGGCCTCCTCAGGTGTGCACACGCACACACTAATGAAAAATACATAAAACTAGAAAACAAAAATCCTCCCAATTGAAAACAGAGCAAAATGGATGAATACTGGGTTTCTGTGTGTCTTAAGTATCTGGTTCTAGACCCCCTATTCTAGGCCATTTGTCTCTCTGTCAATACTCACACTTTAAGGAAATTTTGTAGGCTAGATATTTGTTTAACAGGCACCGCCTCTAACGAGAGCAGACACCATATTAAAAAGTAGAGATTTTGCACTCAGTAGTTCAGCAGCCCTCCCAGGCAGACTACATACTGTGATCAAGTCACAGCATCTCATCTGTACATTCCTCACAAACTTACCACAGCAATAAGGGGAAAGGCTGATGAAAATATATTACATGATAAAATTAAAAAATCAGAACAACAAAAAATCCAGATGAAGTATTTCACCTTCATCTGCAGATCACAACAAGTATGTCCAGGGCTCACCTCACTCACATAAACCTCACAGAGTGACAGGGGGTAAGATACAATATGTATGCTTGACTCAGAAGTGGTGTAAACCCCACTCACCAGACTGCTTTCAGGGATGCAGAGCTGAAGATGGCCAAGCAGTGACTTGGCCACAAGGACTTCAGCAGAGCTCCCATCACATGCCCAGAACTGAAGAGTTGGCAGTCAGCAGCACCTAATGCCTGAGGAGCAGGAGACAGCAATGATGTCACTGCAGCTGCAGGCTACAACACAGAGCCTTGAAACTTAAGGTGCTGAAACGGTGTTTTCACTAAAGCATGTTGTAGCTCTCAAAAAGCAAACAAAAAAACAAAGAAACCCCAAAACTGTTTAACCATATTTTAATATCTGATAGATTTGCTTGCTATTTTTATTTTCAAAGTATTGCTGTATCTCCTTGCTTATTTTTCTTTATGGATTTTGGAAAGAACATATCATGTTCCAGAAAACATGTTGATATTTTTATTGTGGTTATATTAAATGTATAAATTAATGTAAGTGACAGCTTAGTCATATTGCATCTGACTGTCTAGCAATAATGTACATCCTACATTTTCTTAAGTCCCTTTTCATGTCTTCCAGGACCTATCTTCAAATTCTACTAGCATGGCATTCCTTGTTAAACTAATATAGACTGTTTTGTTTTTTTAGTCTCATAAATCCCCACTTTACAGTCCTTAATGATTACATGATAGATTTGATGTCGAAACCCGTCATGTGTTTATTGGTGATCACTCAGGCCAAGTCACCATCCTCAAACTGGAACAAGAAAACTGCACACTGCTCACAACCTTCAGAGGGCATACAGGTAAGATCTGAGCAGAGGCTCCTGTCCCCACAGCTTCTTCTGGTGCTTAGGTGTTGTGTTGTGTTGTGTTTGAAGGTGTCAGAGAACAACCTGAACTTAGGCAAAACTACAGATGATGCAAGGTACACTTAGCTGATTGTAAAATGCTTCAGTAAGAGAGAACACCAAAAAGTTTTCTCCATGAGTCAAACAGAAGAGAAACCATTCTCTCTTGAGAATGTTAAGAGCAGGCTGGCTTTTGCGTTGCTGTGGAGAAAGCCCATGCTGGCGTGTGTTATCACAGTGCTAGAGACCATGTGGCAACAGTTCAAAACCCAGGAGACTGGCAGGACACTTGTCCTTTCCATACTTGAAGTGAGAAGACAGTGTGCAAGAAAGATTCCCACATGCCAGACGTGAAAGGGGAGTGAGAGCCCACAAAAGGGGATGGATTCATCTTTCCTATTGGGCCCTTTAGTTTATAACCCAAGGTCCCCCTTATATCTATCACTAGTGTGCTCAGGATCGTCTACGCAAGGTAAAAACAATCATTTGTAGCCCTGGAAAGACTTGACTCAATGGCAGTAATGAATATTGGCATTTTTTTTTGGAATGGCATTGGCTTCAGAAAAATGTTCATTTTGGGGAGATGTGCCACTGCCTGGTTTTGTGGTTGCTAATGGACTTTGGTGTGGTTGTTTTTGTAAATAAGTAACTCATGCTTTGGTGTAGAGATAATACTTCATCTGGGTGTCACAGAAAAACAAAAGTAGATGGGAAAGGATGTTTAATTAAATAGTGTCCATTTAGTCATAAGGGATTTGCAGGGGTAGAGCAATAAGGGGGCCAGAGAGATGGCTCAACAGTTTAGAGTGCTTGCTGCACTTGCAGAGGACCCAAGTTCAGTTCCCAGCCCCCACATTGGGTGTCTCACAGCTGCCTGGAGCTCCAGCTCCAGGGATCTGACCTGTGCGTCTAGGCTCCAGTATGTCCTTCCTTTGTCACACGCTTGCCAGTGTGCTCATGTCTTCAGTAGATGGCATCCCTCCTTCTTGGTCATCGTGGAGTATTAGGATGCAGGCTGACTGTCTACCTATTTGTGTGAACCAGGAGCCCCATCCACACCCACTCTTGAGATTTAGGCATCGATACCATTGCAAGAGTGTGATTTCCCAGCTGGGTGCAGAGTTGCCCCTTTACCCTCTGCCTGCGTTCAGTACGCTCCACATGCCAGTCTCATAACCACCGTCCCCGCTTCTCCTTTCCTTCCCTCTCCCACCACCTCCTTCAAAAGCTATCAGCTTTTAAATGTTTTATTTCTTGCCTGTTCTGTACTCTGCTACATACCTAAAGAAGACCTCTGTATGGGAGCCATCTTTTCTGTGGGCCCAGGCTAATTCTCAGGAGCCACACACCAAGGTAGACTCCCCTTGGGCAGCTCCTCTTCATTTATTCTTACACTTAAGGTTCTTGCTTCTGTGTTCAGGAAGCAAACCAAACCTTCTCAATCCCACATCCTCCTGTAGCTGTTCCTGTTACTCTACTAATTCTATTCTTGCAAACATAAAACTTACTATTTAACCATTTTATTTGGAGCATTGCTGTTCCTGTGCTATCATCACCACCGTCATCTATCACAGACCACTTCATCTTTGAAGCTGCAACCCTCTGCCCCTCCCCCATCACCCTAGGCTCTTTCTGTGGAATGTGACTACTCCTAGTGCTTCGGGTAAGTGGGATCATTTAGTGCTTCTCCATTTGCAAAAGGCTTGTTTGCCTGAAGATTTGTAGCATCTAGTTCTTCCCAGAATGCCTTTCCCTGACTGCTCCAAGGCCTTCACCTTCTGTTTACCCTCCAGCCTAGAGGCAAACATCTGCTCTGCCTCTGTTTTCTCTTTTGAATTGCTCTCCCTCAGGTGACCCATGGTCTTCTGGGCCCTGTTTAAGACCTTGTTGTGTTTAAGGTTTGGCAGCATTTTCCACGGTGCCTGCTCCTCCCTGCAGTTGCTGCTCTCCTTTCGTATCTGTGAACCAGCCTCTCCCACCTTCCTTCTGCCCGCCTCTGGCTGTTCTCAGAATCCGCACTCAGCCTCCAGGTCTCTTCTGGCCTTTTGCTCCATGGTGTCAATCTCAGTGGATACTCTCAGTCAGAAAGAAAAGCACAGAGTTGTCCTCAGATTCCTCAGAGCCCATTGAGAGCCAAGCTGCATTGTAATGGTGCCTGGTGACAGAGGCCTGGGAAAGAAGCACCAGGGACATCCGGGTGCTTACTTGGAAGGAGTCATGGGGGGGGGCATTCATGGAAGCTGTTGCTTGAGCTGAAATCCTAGGGAATGAGTGAGTGTTGAATTCTTAGGGAGGAGTGAGAGGATGTCCAGGAGAATGCTGGGACACCGAGGGCACGGAGATGCAAGAGCCTGTGCTCTGAGCACTGACAGTGCTGCTCACCTCTCCAAGCTGTACCTCTCTGTCTGAAGGAGGAGCAGAGGCAGCTGTGGCAAGGTAGCCAGAAGAAAGCCACAGTCACTTCAGATCCCTAAGACTTACTTTGGCTTCCTTGAGAAACCATTAATGAGTTTGAAGCCAAGAAAGAGAGGCATCTGATCCCCAGGAGCTGGAGTTGCAGCATTCTGGTTCTCTGTAAAAGCAGCATGCACTCTCAACTGTAAAGCCTTCTATCTCCCCAACTCTAGAAACTGTCTCTTAAAATGGGGTGCTAGTGGGGGGCGGGGAGGAGTGGATAGATTCAGGGTGAAATGAAGTTGAAGATCATCACGGTGGGCACTAGGATGTTGCTCAATGGGTAGAGTACTTCTAACACAAGTGAAACCTGGGTTTGCTCTGGGAGCAGAGGGCTGGAGGGAGAGTGTGCCTACTGCTAACTAACCAGATTGGATTAGGCAGAAGTGGCCTCTTGACTCTTTGGAAAATCACTCAGGGGTCCCCTGAGTTCTATGTTGTTATTACCAAGGCAGCAGGTGTAAGAAACTGTTTCTGCCCTCTGTGTTGTTGGCTGGATATGGCTAAGAGTCTTACATTTCCTGCGTGCTTGCTGTAATATAAAATGTTGCTTAGTTATTGGCTCATAGTTTGGGGCGTCCTCATCTTGTTTTCTTATTGTGAAATGTCTTTGATGCGGATGGCATGGCTTAGGAAGGTTGCTAGGTCACATGAGGGTAAGTGCAGTCATCGAGAGGAGCATCAGTTGGCTGCAGCACAGCTTGCTCAGCTACACTGAAGGCACAGTTCATAGTATTAATGGGTTTTTATGAGGGCCAAACAAAGCCAAGGCCAGATTCATTAGAGCAGGGAGATGTCTCTTTGGTCCAGACCTGACTCACACATGGAGGTCTTCAATGTTTAGGGATGGAGCCAAGGTCAGTCTTTCTCCCTATCATTCTCTTCCATAGAGGGCCATGGCCATTGGTCCCATTGTTTTTACATAGGGAGCCATGGCCGTTTGCCCCCTCATTCTCTCTTATGATGTAGAAACTCATACAGAAATATGGAGTATGTTGGAACCAGGCCAGCTACTGCAGTTTCTAGTCAGTGGAGATTTATTTTGTGTTCCTAGCTCCCTCTGCTGGCTTTCTTTCTGGAACTGAATGTCAAGTGTCATGATTGTTTTCTGAAGACATTTCTTCATATACACTTCTGCTAAAGAGCTCTACATTGAGCTGAACAAATTGGGAAACCTATTTTGAGTTAAGTTAGTAAGTTGGTAGCATTATTAACATCTTTATTTGTATGACTTTTGTTTTGTATGGTAAGGCTTGCTGTGTAGCTCAGGCTGGTCTCAAACTCATAGTGATGCTTCTGCCTCAACCTCCCAAGTGTGCTGGAATTACTAGTGTGAGCCACCATGCCCAGTCTAAAAACTGTTTTAATTAACATGAGCATATGATAAATAGGAGGAATGTAATCAGTCAAAGCTTCTAAGCAGCACAGTGGTCTGAGCATTGGCTCAGGCCCTCTGTTAGCTAATGGCTAGCCTGATCAACTTACTGTTGAGGGCTGTGAAGGCAGACTCTGAGCAAGTTACTCGTCACACTTGGGCAAAGGCAGACCCAGCAAGTTTCTAACTCTCGAGTTCAGTTTTGCAAGGCTTTTGCACATGTCTCAAAATTAATTAATTAAGAAATGGTTCGCTGAGCATTTTGGTAACAGGTATTAAATTTCTAAAAGCATTTAGACTCTGATGCAGTTCTACATTTGACATTCTTATCTATGTAACAACAAAAAATGTGGAGCCAGAGTTAGAAGCCAGCATGAGCAGCCAAGTCCTTGTTGTTTAAAGAACAGTAGTAAAGAGAGGCCAGAGAAAGCTGTGTCCTCAGCAACTAGGAGTACTTGGCTCCCAGCACCCACAGAAGGAGGCCCACAACTACCTGTAACTCCACCTCAGGGGATCTGACATCCCCTTGTGGCCTCCACAGGCACCCACGTGAATATGCACACATGCTCACAAACATAAATTTTAAAAGGTGAAAAACTAGTGAAAGAAATGTGAGCAGGGTGGTGATGGTACACGCCTTTAATCCCAGCACTTGGGAGGCAGAGGCAGGCGGATCTCTGTGAGTTTGAGACCAGCCTGGCCTACAAAAGCGAGTTCTAAGACAATCTCCAAAGCTACACTGAGAAATCCTGTCTTAAAAAAAAAAAGAAATGTGAATAGTTTTTTTAATGAAATACTTATTTCTGCAAATTTATAATATTTAGTTAAAAGCTGAAGAAAACCAAATAAGTAAAAAATAACCCAGTATGAATACAATGTTGTAAGATATTATCCCACCAGTAACAATTACATTCATAGAATAGCTATAACATAGATTTTACCATTGCAACTCTTGTGGTAGTTTTGGTTTTGGTTTGCACTGTGGAGCTTGCGCGTGCTAGGCAGGTGCTCTACCACTGTTGGCATCCCTGACCATTTCATCCACTTTTAAGTGTGTAATAGTTCAGGGAAACATTTCTGTAGTGGCCTAACTTTATAACAGAGTCCATCATCCATAAAATCTCTTGAGTGGATGGATATTTTCAAACCATCCTTTCTCACAGTGCCCACCATTGTTTAAATCTGGTGCAGTGCTTTAAAAAGCCAAGCTACCCCTTTTACATGTCTTAGAGGAAAAGTCACATCTGTCACCTTGCTTCATTTGTGTCCCTGAGTGTAGTGGCTTCTCTAGTGAAGCAGGCCACTTCAGATTTTCAAGCATTCCACGATGGAAAGGTCATCTGGGTGAAGCCCTCACATCAGCAACACTGCTTACCCAGGAAAGAAGGGTCTGGGGCCCACTTCATCTGCTAGGAGCAAGGCCAAGGGCCTCCCTTCCTGTTCCCCAGCGCACAGCTGTGGCTCCTCTGCCCATACAGACTGAATATCTGCTCCTGCCAGCCAGGAAGAGACCCCTGCCAACGAGCCACAGCTCTGGCCTCCCAGGGCCTCTTGTCTCTGAAGTGACAGCTACTCTGGGACAAGATATGTGTGAGTAATGAGGAGCGGAATGGGGTTGCCTCTAAGGACATGGGATTTAGATAAGGCGTGGCATGAACTGGAGAAAAAAGGTTTCAAATTTTCATCCACCTGCCCCTCATTCTGCCCTGTGCTGTGCTTGGCTGCTGACGGGGGAAGGTGGAGTCGGTGAGGACGAAGGCCCTGTTAACCACCACCCGTTGCTAGGGGATGTGGGGCCCATGGTGAACAGTGGTGAATGCAGTGCAGGGAGAGGAAGAGGCTAGTTAGGAAATCCACAGCAGTGGGAACAAGGCGGGCCCTGTGACCTTAAGAGAGTCTGCTGGAACAGTTAGGAGAGAACCTTACGTAAAAAGCCTCTGTGGTATAAGACTTTATTAACACAAATTGATCATTTTTAAAATGTCAGGTTCCAATAAATATGAGCTACTTAATATCCTCAGAATATTTTCCGGTAATATTTAAAAATGAATATCTCTGACATTCTTTGGTATTCGTTGGCTGTGTGTTCATTTTATATTGATAATTTGCTTCTATTCTCAGTGTTCAAAGAATTTGATCTATAAGGGGATTTCTGGAGAAGAAACTCTCACAATATCGGGTAGCCATACACTACAGCCCCTGCAGCTTAGGCCAGTGGTTCTCAACCTTCTTAACACTGCAACCCTTTAATGCAATTCTTCATGGTGTGGTGACCCCAACCATAGATTATTTTCTTGCTACTTCAAAACTATAATTTGGCTGTTGTTATGAACAGTAAGGTAAATATCTGTGTTTCCCAATGGTCTTAGGCAATCCCTATGAAAGGGTCGTTCAACCCACTGGTTGAGAACCGCTGGCTGCTGTGTAATAGATTCAGTCAATTCTCAGCCAGTAGGTATAGAGTAGTTGTAGTGTTCACAATTGTACACCTTCCTCACTTCATAGATGAGTGTTGTTCTGTAGTTTCCTTCCTGTTGCTTTATGAGAGGAAAGTATTTATTTGGCTTATGCTGCCAGACCACAGTCCATCACTGAAGGATGTCAGGGCAGGAACCCAAGCAGAGACCTGAAGCAGAAACTGTGGAGTAATGCTACTTGCTGGCTCGCTGTTCGGCTCATGCTCAGCCAGCTGTTGTATACTTCTCAGGACCACCTAGAGGTGGTGATGCCCACCGTGGGCCAGCTCCCTGCAGCAACAAACAAGAGAGTCTTCCACAGGCTTGGCTGGAGGCCAGTTGGGTCTAGGCAATCTTCAGTTGAGGCATTTCTCTCAGACAACTCTAGACTGTGTCAAGTTGACAATTAAAGCTAAGTAGGACAAGGATACTAGCACTTAGGATAAAATTGAATTATTAAAGGATTTATAAGCTGAAGTTTCCAAAGAAACAGTTTCTACCTCTGATGTTGTTCCCTAATTATACCTAATATCCAAATATAAAAACACATTTCAGTATTCTCAAAGACATGCAAATAACTAGCAGTTATAATGGAAAAAGCTCAATATCACTAATCATCAGAGAAGTCAAAACCACAGTGTAGTGTTCTCGCTCTGCAGGTGAAACGATATGCTGGCTAGTTGCAAGTCAGCTTCACAAAAACCAGAGTCATTGTGGGCAGTGCCGCCCTGGGCTGGTGGCCTTGATTACTATAAGAAAGCAGATTGATTGAGCAAGCCCTGAGCAACAAGCCAGTAAGCAACACTCCTCCGAGGTTTCCAATTTAGTTTCTGCTTCCAGGTCCCTGTCCTGCGTGAATTCCTGCCCTGACTTGCCTCGGTAATGCACTGAGGACAGAGTGGAAGACTATAGAGCCCTCAGCTTCCCACGTCGCTGTAGGTCATGGTACTGGTGTTGTAGTGCACCACAGAAGCCTTAGCTAAGACAAATGGTTTTGGTAAGCAGCAGCAGAGCACAAATCTGTGAGGAAAGGTGCAGCACACTATGGGAGAATTGTAAACTATTTCAAGCTTTACAGAAAGTATTATGGAGGCTGTTCAGAAAATTAACTAAACTGACTTCTAGGCATGGTAGTACAAACTCAGGGGACAAAGCCAGGAGGATCATCAAATGATTGAGGCCAGGCTGGCTATATGGTAATACTCTGTCTCAAAACAAATGAACAAAAAATAAAATTCATGATCCAGCTACTAAGATTATATTTAAAGAAAATGGAATAGGTATACCAGAGATAGCTGCGCCATTATTGTAGAATTTGTTATGTATCTAAGGAATAGGAACAAATAACCTAATGCATTATGAGTGGATAAAGGTAATGTTATATGCTGGAATATTATCGTGCCATATAAATGGATGAATTTGTCAACCACATTTGATGGGCCAGAGGACATTATGTTAAATGAAATAAGCCAGATACAGAAAGAAGTGCTACAGCAGGACGGTGGTGAAACATGCCTTTAATCCCAGCACTCGGGAGGCAGAAGCAAGCAGATCTCTATGAATTTGAGGCCAGCCTGGTCTATAGATTGAGTTCCAGGACAGGCTCCAAAGCCACAAAGAAACCCTGTCTTGAAAAACAAAACAAAACAAAACAAAAACAAACAAAAAAAAAACAAAAACCAGAAGCAAGGAAGGAAACAGAAAGAAAGAAAGAGAGAGAGAGAGAGAAAGAAAGAAAGAAAGAAAGAAAGAAAGAAAGAAAGAAAGAAAAGAAAGAAGCACACATGATCTCACATAGAATTTAAGAAGTTAGCCTCATAGAAGTAGTGAATGGAGCAGTGGTCCCCAGTTGGTCAGTGTGTACCAAATTGCAGTTAGAAAGAGTAAGCTCTGATGTTTTGTTGCACAGAAGGTAACTGTTACTAACAGAATGGTATTGTGTATCTCAAAATAGCTGGGAAGGATTTTGAATACTCCCACTGATGAATGTTTGATGAGCTGAATATGCTAATTACTCCTTCGGTTTGCTTATTGTATGATGTATACCTAAATTAAAATGTCACATTGAACCCCACAAATATGTACACTTATTATGCATCAAGAAAGGAAGAGCTCTAATTGAGCATTTTAATTTCATTTTCTTCTCATTTATTATTGTCAGGGTGAGCAGCAGTTCGTAGCTAAGAAAATTCAGTTAATACTTCCAAGTAATTTGGCATTTCCCTTAGAATTGCACCGTGAACTGCCCTCTGTTGTTTACAGAAGTTGGTTTTATGATATATTACAATGATGTGGCTGTTTAAAGACTGAGTTTTATTTTGTAAGCAATGTTTCTTTTCTAGGACTTACTTCCCCACTCATTTATCAAACACTTACTTAATTCAGGGACTGTGTGGGTCCTGATCCCTTTGAGATCCTGCTTTGTGACAAGCATATTGTTCTGTGACTAACACCTGGCTGTGTCTGTTCTCTTAGGAGGGGTAACGGCACTCTGCTGGGATCCGGTCCAGCGTGTGCTGTTCTCAGGCAGTTCTGATCACTCCGTCATCATGTGGGACATCGGTGGGAGAAAAGGGACAGCCATCGAGCTCCAAGGACACAAGTAAGGCTGCTGTAGGTGCTTCCATAAAGTCTCTCACAACAGGCTCCTGGATGAGGCGGAACAGGGGCTTGGCAGGATGCTGGCGGGACCTTAGATCCAGAAGGTGCATGTCAGCCACACTGTAACTGCCTATCCGATTTGATTCTGCAAGCACAAAGGCTACTCCTAGCCACTGAGGACCTGAGAGTGCTTCTGAATGCACACAGTGAAATAATGGCTTTGAATAAATTAAGAGCAAAACTTAAAGCCATAAAGAATGTAAGTGAATGTTTGAGAGTGAAACAAAACATTGTAAAATACAAACAGGAAGCCTGTAAGATCTCTGTATAATTCAAGCTTTCTGGCAACTTGAGGGCAGAATTGATAGCCTTCCATACTTTGTACCTTGCCCAATACCTTTATTCCAGTTTGCCTGGTTCCTATGTGGTTGGCTTAGATCAGCAGCTGATACGATTTCTCTTGACCAGCAAGCACTAGCTAGGCTCTGCAACTGTAAGGTGAACATTGGCCAGTATGTGGCAACTGATGAGCTCTGGTGATGTGTTCTTTCTTTCTGCATAGGCTCAAGACTGCCTCTTTCTTCTTCGTCTCTTAGGATTCCTGGTTTTCCTCCCTTGCTCCAGGATGGCTATTGGTCAGAGTCGATGCAAATCAGGGACACAACTGACTTTAGGGACTTGGGGAGTGAACTGGCGTGGGTCTGTCCAGTCATAATATCAAGACAGTGCCACATGTCCTTTGTACCACCAACCTCTCACAGCAACTAAATGTTGGTCCTGTAAAGTCATAATGGGGCTGACAAAACCTCAGGCATAGCCCCTCCCTTGTGCCTTTCTGATGTGTGTTAAACACGCACTGCTGCACAGGTTTGTGTCCTGTGTAGCCAAAGTGTAAAGCTGGCCTCCACCCTCTGGGTCTGTACACTCAGTGATGGAGTCACCACAGTTTTCAAAGACCTAGCTCCACCATTAAGGCAGACTCATCCAAACAGAGTGACTGATGACGTTGAAGAGTTAGTTTTCCATGTCCAAGGGAAGAATGCTAAGAAATATACTCTCCCATACGGTTATCTGCATTTCAGGCATTTTGGTGTTTTATTTCCCATGGCAAGTGGAATGCAGTCGTGTTCTAGACTAACTCTGTGTAGGGAAAGGCTCCAGTGTGGGAGGCAGCTAGGATTCTCAAGGGTCAGCTGTTAGTTTCACAGACACTGCAGACACATAAGTGTTTGGTCATGCCTGCCTTGTCTTACACAGCAGTGTCACCTTTTTGTTTGTTTGTTTGTTTGTTTGTTTGTTTGTTTGAGACAGGGTTTTGCTGTGTACCTCTGACTAGCGTGGTATTCACTGTGTAACCCAGACTGTCCTCAAATTCCTACAGTCCGCCTGCCCCTGGCTCTTGAGTGTGGGGGTTACAGGTATGTGCTGCCACACCTACTGGTACCTTTTGCTTTAGATCTTTTCTCATTCTTAGAATAGTACCCATTGTTTCCTGACCGGCCTTCTGACTCTGTTTTCTCTAGTAGTGTTTTGTTAGACCTAACACTTCTGGGAGACTGGATGTGCTTCGATTTCAAGCACTGGAGAGAGCGTGTGTTGCCCTTACATGTTGGGACCCACAACAGACGCGAGGCTGATCACAGCCAGGATTCTTAGGGCCACACAACTCATGTTCTTTCCCTTTTTCAAAATTCTCTTAGTTTCCATCCTGTTTCTCTTACCAGGTGTAAGATTTTCCTTATGAGCACCCCTAACCCTTTGGGAGTCCATTACGGTGGTACATACTGGGATTTACTAATAATCCCAGCACATGGGAGACAGGCAAGCAGAAAAGGAGTTCAGGGCCATCCTCAAGCAGCCTGCACTATCTGAGATCCTACTCAAAAAAAAAAAAAAAACACAAAAAACCAAGTACATGAACAAAACCTTTTGGTAAAGAAACGGCCTATCTATAAGTAAATATGTGTGGGGAGGGTTTGAACTTTTCCCCTTATATCAAGTGAATTGCAACCGAGGCTATGAGAAGAGATTTCAACTTGCCCTTTGTGTTGGAAGAGCCAGGGAGTTGAGGTCAGTATGTGCAGAAGCTTCTTTTCGCATCCCAGGGTTTAAGGGCAACCTCTCACTGCAGTGCTAGAAGAGGGGGCAGTCTTTTATTTCTGATTATTTCACTAAATACATAGCAGGCGAAAATATTATGTGTTAGAGCTTTCATGGAGGGTAGAATCCTGTCCTAGAAGGCAGGACTGTGGTTTTTGTTTGTTTGTTTGTTTGTTTGTTTTTGTTTTTGTTTTTTTTTGAGACAAAATTTCTCTGTGTAACAGCTGTCCTGGAACTCTCTTTGTAGAAGGCCTCAAACTCACAGGGCTAGGGTTAAAGGTGTGCGCCACCACCACCTGGCGGCAGGACTGTGTTTATCAGTGAGCATTTGGGAAGGTTAGAAGCACTGGCTGCTCTTCTGGAGGACCCGGGTTCAGTTTCCCACCCACTTGGCAGCGCCAACCGTCTATAACTTCAGTTCCGTGTTTGATGCCCTCTCCTGGCCTTTGCCAGCAACAGGCATACAAGTGGTACAGACATAAATGCAGATGAAGCACACATATGAAATAAAGTTGAAATAATATTTTAAGGAGATAATGTCCCAGGACACCCAGTTCTTTGAAGGCTCACTTCCGTTTTCATGCTCTGCTGTTACTGCCTTCTTGTTCTTTGTGCATTTTTACAAGGGGCCAACCCTGGATTTTCATTTTGCACTGATACATCAGGTCACCTAGCGGGCTTGGTGGAACATATCTCTTCTAGAACTGCTAAGAAGCATGAGGCTGACCCTCTGAGTGTAGTGTTTATAGGAGGTGGATCTCCCTGCTCGGGAAAGTAGGGTTTTCTCGTACTCATCAGAACACATATGATGCGTATGAGGAGGACCCTTGTCTACAAAGTAATTGTTAGCTTTGAAATGCTTTCTAGTATAAATGCTGTAGTAATAACAGGAGACATGAAGATAAGAAGGTGTCTTTTTCCATTCCCTCCCATAGCTTTTAATTGTGAGGTTGTTGAGTTTTCAATCCTTAAATCAGGGGATCCCCAAGCAGATTATTATAAAGCTCCAGGCCTGCATTCATCCCTGTGTCCCACTCTGCTGTGCTGCCAGATTAGCAGTTCTGGGGCCTCGTAACACATTTGCTGCTGAATGCTGCCACCGGCTGTGAGTGGTGAAGCACTCCTTTTGACAATACCAGATCTTTGATATGTGTCTCAGGATGCCTTAACTCAATGGTTCTCAAACTGTGGATGGTGATCCCTTCGAGGGTTGAATGACCCTTTCACAGGGGTCACATACCAGATATCCTGCATTTCAGATATTTACATTATGATTCTTAACAGTAGAAAATTATGATTATGCAGTAGCAACAAAATAATTTTAAGGTTGGGGTCATCACAACATGAGGAACTGGAATAGGAAGGTTGAGAGCCGTTGCCTTAATAAATGAATTGTAGTTCATTCCTAGTTTCAAGTCTGTTCAGCTGGGTAGAGGATAGATTCCCCTCTTGACTTTGAATATCAAAATGGAGGCACTCTGTACTTTTTTTCTCAATATATGTTTTTATTTAAATTAGAAACATGCATGCTTCACATGTCAATCCCAGCTCCCTCTCCCACCCCTCCTCCCTTGTCCCTTCACCAGTACCTTCCCCAGCCCAATCCCCACATCATTCCCCAGGGTGGGTGAGACCCTCCTTGGGGGGATCTCCAGAGGCTGTCATTTCATCCAGGGCAGGACCTAGTCCCTCCCCATGTGTCCAGGCTGAGAGAGAATCCCTCCATGTGGAATGGGCTCTCAAAGTTCATTTGTATGCCATGGTGAACACTGATCTATTACCCAAGGCCCCAGAGATTTCTGAGGCCTCCTCACAGAGACTGCATTCATGGAGTCTGGATCAGTCCCCTGTTGGCCTCTCAGGCATCAGTCTGGGGTTCAAGAGCTCCCCCTTACCCGGTCAGCTGTCTTTGTGGATTTCACCAGCACGGTCTTGACCCCATTTGCTCATCACTCCTCCATCTCTGTCACTGGGTTCCAGGGGTGCAGTTCAGTGTTTAGCTGTGGATATCTGTCTCTGCTTCAATCAGTCACTGGATGAAGGTTCTAGGATGGCATATAAGGTAGTCATCAACCTTATCATTCGGGAGGGGCTATTAATGTGGTCTCTCTGCTATTGCTTAGTTTGCCAGTTGGTGTTATCTTTGTAGATCTCAGGAAATCCCACTAGTTTCAGCTCTCTCCTCAAACCTATAATGATTCCATCTATTATGGTATCTCTCATCCTGCTCTCCTCTATTCTTACCCGGACTCAACCTTCCTGCTCCCCCATGTCTTTTTCTTCCCTCCTCTTATCCCCCTCTCTTTTTTCTCATTCCCTCTCCCCTCCCCCCATCTTCCCAATCTGCTCAGGAGAGCTTGCCTCATTCCACTTCTATGGGGTATCATGCATATCTCTTGGGAACCTCCCTGTTTCCCAGACTCACTGGCACTGGGAATGTAGGCTGGCATTCCCATGACCCATGTCTAAAATCCATATGAGTGAGTACATACCAGACTGGGTTACCTCACTCTGGATGGTTTCTTCTAGTGCCATCCATTGCCTGCAAATTTCAAGATTCCATTTTTTTCCGCTGAGTAGTACTCCATTGTGTAAATGTACCATATTTTCTCTATCTACTCTTCGGGTGAGGGACATCTAGGTTGCTTCCAGGATCTAGCTATTACAAATAATGCTGCTATGAACATAGTGGAACAGACATCCTTGTTGTATGAATGGACATCTTTTGGGTATATGCCTAAGAGTGGAGTTGCTGGGTCTTATGGTAGACTGATTCCCATTTTCCTGAGGAATCTCCATACTGATTTCCAAAGTGGCTGTACAAGTTTGCACTCCCACTAGCAATGGAGGAGTGTTCCCCTTTCTCCACATCCTCTCCAGCATAAGCTGTCATTGGCGTTT